TCTGCCTTCGGCTCAGGTCATGATCCCAGGGTCCTGGGATTGAGCCCCACATCGGGGTCCCTGCTCCGCAGGAAGCCTACTTCTCCCTCTCCCACTCCCCCTGCTTGTGTTCCCTCTCTCGCTGTGTCTCTCTCTGTCAAATAAATAAAATCTTAAAAAAAAAAAGAAAGAAAGAAATTGATAATGCAGGGGCACCTGTGTGAATGGGAACACACAGGGCAGGGAGATTGTCCTACATAGTGCACATGACTTCATCATCAGGGAAGGGCAGTGCTTTTGTGGGTGGAGCTTTAAAGCTTTGGCCTTATGCCATGCCCCTTCCTCCCGCCACAGAGAGGGGGGCAGTTGAGAAGTTTGGTGGGAGCCAGCGCCACTAGGGGATTCCCCCTGTGTGTTCTGAATGGTGTGCCTGCAGGGGAGGAAGCAGCACAAGTGAGTTGTTTAAGAGCACTGTGGCCTTCTCTGAAAAGCTGTTAGCCCACTCCAGGTCTCTAAGACTATTCAGAGTGGAAAAGAAATGATCGTCCCACAGCATGACAGAGGTGTAGGTGGCTCAGCTGCTCTCTGTCCCTGTCTGTCTCTAGCTTCTCTTCTCTCCCATTCTGACCTTCAAAGAGTGCCATGGGTCGCTGTTCACGAACACACACACACATGCAGGGCTCATGGTGAAGTGCCCAGAATCAAGCTGTGTGCAGATGGCAGTACAGCCTGGAGGGTGGGAATACGGCCTTGGAGAATCACAAAAACTGGAAAAAATGAAGCTGGCCTTATTGAAGAAGTTGTTTTTCCAAACGTCTCCTCAGGACTTTATTAGATCTTTTGAAGCAAGGAGACCAATAAGTGCATATTTTCTCCTGCACATGGGGTCACCCTGGACTTGAATCCCAATCCAGCAGAGTCTGGACCCCATGGCCCTTCATCTCCTACGCTCAAGCTCTGCCTCGGCAGAAGGCTGGTGACTGTGGCCCTCCATCGACGTTATAGTGCCTGTCTTCAGGTCTCTGCTCCTCAGCAATATGGCCACCACCTTCTACCCAGAATGCTTTCTCCTCCTCCCAGAGGGCAGTCTCTTCTTCCCAGAGGGACTTTTTATCCTCCCACAGGGCCTTCTCCTCCTCAAGAAGAGCTCTTTCCTCTTCCGACAGGGCTTTCTCTTCCTCCCACAGGGCCTTGTCCTCCTGAAGAAAGTTCCGATCTCTTTCCCATAAGGCATTGTCCTCTTTCCAAAAGGCCTTATCCTCCTTCCAAAAGGTACGGTACTTTTTCCAAAAGGTTTTCTCTTCTTCTCGGAAAGATTTTTCCATTTCCCAGAAGGTTTTTTCCTCTTCCCAGAAGGTTTTCTCCTCTTCCCAGAAGGGTCTCTCCTCTTCCCAAAAACCTAAGATCTGACCCCGGAAAGCACAGATCTTGCCTCGGAAATTCCACATCTCTTCCCTGAAATTTTCTATTTTCTCACGAAAAATTTTCATCTCTTCCCGAAAAGCCTTTTCTTCCTGCAGCTTATGGATTAGTTTCTTCTGGCGAATGTTGGGTGAGGAGCCCACCATTGACCGGAAGCAAGCAAGCTCCATCCATTTGCTCACCTTGAAGGGAAACATCTTCTTAGTCGGCCAGAATGGTGGGGTGGCCATGATGGAGAACAGGGCTGTTGGCCAAGTCCAGGTCAGCTGGTCGAACCCTGTGGGGGCAGCACAAGAAACATGTTCATGAGTATCACATGCCAGAGAACAAGCCCTTGGGTCTGTATCATTTGATTTAGAAAAATTTAACCGTTTCTCTCTTTGTCCCATCGGCTGTGTTTGTGAGAGTTGAGGTTTGGTAGACAAACACTCTGAGGGGCCATGGCTTTGGGCTGAAGAGGTGGTTGGTATATTCAAGCTCAAGGCTGCTAAAATCACAGAATCTCAGCCAACAAGGACAGGGGTTCTCAACTAGGGTATCAGAACACACGAGTATGTCATGGTCACTTAAGGTGTGTGTCACAGGATTTTTTGCTTTTAAATAATAAAGTACTGTAACCCCCAAATGATTTACTTTTGTTAAACCAACCAGAATTCATTTAAAGTTTTGACATTCTCACTTGGGGATTGCTCAGAACATTCTCATGGTCATGCTCACAGCAGGGTGCCACGTATGTGAATGTGTTGTTACAGGTCCCCCAGAAAACAGAGGGTGAGACCCACTGACATAGAGGGGACTATTTTAGTAGAAGAGTCTTTGGCGGGGGAACAGAGGCTCAAACAATAAGGTGAGAGACAATGCCAAATGTTGGCAAGGATATGGAAAAGAGGAGCTCTGACAATATGGAGTAATACTGAACAATAGGGAAGACATTTTATGACCCAGCAGCTCCGCTTCCAGATAGGTACCCTGAGGAAACTTATGAATCGTGACCAGGATACACATACAAGAATGTCTGAGGAGCTTTGTTCAGGAAAGCTCAACACTGCAAACAACCCAATGACAATCACAATAGAATGGAATTTAAAAATGGTAGTATATTCATGCAATGGATAGCATAGCTACGTGCAATAATGTGGGTGAATCTTATAAACATAATGTTGAAAGAAAGAAGCAGGATCAAAGAATTTCAAAAAATAAATTCCCAAACAGGCAAAACTAAACGCTATTGTTTATGGAAATATACATAGGTGATAACGCAAAAAGGCACAGCAAGGAAGTGAGTCCCATAATTCGAGATAGTGGTTACTTGTAGGGGGGAGGATGAGGTGGGGAGGTGAGGGGGGCTTCTGAGGGGCTAGCAGTCTTCTATTTCTTTACTTGGAAGCTGGTTGCATGTGTGTTCATTATGAAAATGTGCTAAGCTGTATGTATATATTTTATGTACTCCAGTAAATGTATTATATTTCACAACAAAATATAAGTTAGGGAGAAGGGAAGGAAGGAAGAGAAAGAAAGAAAGAAGAAAGGAAAAGAACAGAACAGAGAGAGAGAGAGAGAAAGGAAAACATCGCCATACATCTCAGGTATCAGATACCAGAACTTTCAGAACTATCCACAGACATTCCAGTTAACTACAAAGGTGGGTCGAGGGATGAGAAGGTCTGGACATTGCAGAATGGGCAGAACAAGGGGGGCATGCACCTGGTGAGGACATTGATTTCCATTTTGAGCCTTCCGGAAGCAGCTGCCGGGGTCGGCTTCACTCAGCGGGCCTCGCCAAGCAACGCGCGATGGAGCAACATGAATCCCTTTGGGAGATTTCTGGGCTTTCCCTTTTTTCCATGTTCTGACTTGGGAGCAGCCGGGGTATGTGTGCGCGCACGCTCATGGTGAAGAGATAGACGGTGGCTCCACTGTGGGCAGCCGGGGGCGCCAACGTATCCACCCAGCCACACAAGCCAGAAACCTGGAGCTTACCCCCGACTCCCTCCTCTTCCTCACCAGACTTTGAATCCATCATCAACCCTCCCAGTTAACACTTCTTGAAACCATGCCCCCTGCTTCATCTCATTGACCGCAGCTGGCTTAGGCCAGGACCCCTGTGACCGTCTCCACCAGTCCCTCTGGGATTGAGCTCACCCTCCCATCCGCCCCTACTGTAGCCCCAGGGGTGTTTCTAAAACACATCACATCACACCTGCTCACAAAGCTCGGAAGACCCCACAGCCAAATCCAAACACCCTCATAAGGTTCCCACTGTCTCCAAAGCTAAGTTTTAGTAAAAATAGGCTATATCCAGTTCTCTGGACGAGACCCTCAGTTTCTTGCCTCCAAGCCAAGGAACGTGCTGCTATCCTCTGTACGGATTTTTTTTTTCTCCCACTGTGGGCTGGAATTCCTGTCCACAGCTGTCCCCTCTGAAAGCTACTTGGACCCTCCAGGGGCGCCTGGGTGGTGCAGTCGGTTAAGCATCTCTCCAACTCTTGGTTTTAGCTCAGGTTGTGATCTCAGGGTCGTGAGACTGAGCCCTGCATCAGGCTCTGTGCTCAGCAGGGAGTCTGCTTGAGATTCTCCCTCTCTCGCTGCCCCACCCCCCCATGCTTTCTCTCTCTCTCTCTCTCAAATAAATAAATAAATCTTAAAAACAAACAAACAAACAAGCTACTTGGACCCTCCAGATGAAGTCAGTCACCACCTCCTCGATGCCACTGTGTCTCCCCACTCCCCTGATTGACTTGTCGCACTTGGTTGAAATTAGGCGTGGGCGTGCCTTGTCGCCGTCCCTATAACCCAGTATCTAATATGAAGCTGGGGGTATAAGAGGTAATTGATAAAAATGTTGGTTGACTTGAACTGAATTTCATTGAATTTTGGAATTTTGATTTTCTATGTTGTATTATGGTTATTTGTCTTATTTATGTAGCTGTTGATATCTCGAGGTGGGAGAAAGTGCCTCCTTCTTCAAGTGCCTACATTTATTTCTTTCCTCTATGAGAACACAAAGCAGGCCCTCAATAAGCGTTTGTTGAACTGGATTCGGAAACTCTATGAGCAAAGCCTCAGGGTCAACTAGAGTCCAGGATAGCAGTCAACAACAATCAGCTTTTTAATTATAATGTCAGGAACAACATCAACTACCCGCTCATTTATTCAACCCTTTTATGCTGGGCATTTCACCAGCATTACCTGTTTAATCCTTTTAACCATAATGTGAGATAGGCACCTTGATTAACCTCATTATACAACTCAGGCTTGAGTAAGTTAAAAACCTGTTCAAACAATTAAGTAGGTGAGTCAAGATTCTGCTAGTAAGTGCTAGAAGTGCATTACGTGGTCAAGCAATACTGCTTGTAAATACCATCGGGCGCCGCTCTCCCTGCTTGTGCTCTCTTGCTCTCTCTTTCAAATAAGTAAGTAAATAAATAAAATCTTTTAAAAAATAATAAAATAAACAAATCTTTTTTAAAAATGCTATCCTTCCCCTTCTGGCAGGTTCAGGTAGGAGCTTCAGCGTGGGCTCAGGCTTTGGAGGAAAGAGGACAGCTCCTCGGAGTGAATTCAGTGGCGAGGTAATAGATATGGCAATAGATGCTGTTTCTGGCACTCTTGGATCTTCCAGTGTCTGCATTATGATTCTGGAATAAAGATAATTTTGAATCTGGGGCCCTGAAGATGAACGGGACCCCAAGATGGCACAGATGACATGCTCCCTGCCACAGGAACAAAGAAGGGGAGCCACGCTGCTCCTTAGATGTCTGCGTGTGACTCAAGTCAGGGAGCACCCAGGCAACCCCTCCAGGAGCTCAGTGATGCTGTCCTTAGGCACCTAAGGGTCCCGCCTTAACGAGGAAACCAGCTTTGGCTGTTGCTCTTTGAAGAAGTCTATGTATGTGTGTGATAACACTAGTAATAATAACACAGAGCAGGACATTATCTGCATCCTTTCTTTTATCTGTGAACCTATGTGAAGGTCTAATGACTCTCCATTATTAGCTTAACACCGCTTACTTAACCTTATGTTTTCTTTTGTCTAGATCTGGGTTTTATTTCCTATCTCTAGAGATCTTGCTCTCTGTTTAACACACTCAAGTGGGATGCACTGTTGGCGTGCTCTCAGAGAGGCAGCCCCACATACCCTCCTCCTTCCTGGTATTTGTCGAACTTTACAAATAATTACATTGTGATGATTTGATGATTGTCTTCCCCCTAGACCGCAAGCTTCATGTGGACGGGAATCAACACATTCCCAGATATAGCCCCAGTGCCAGCAAGGCAGAGTGGTGGCTGGATGAATAAGTGGATGGTGAAGAAGCTGACCAATGCACACCTTATGTAACAAAGGGATGCTGGCTGTCCAACCTCTTGTTGGATGGTAAACAAGGAGAAAGTTTGAGATCACCCAAGTGCTGACCAGGCTTGGAGAACTTGCTCTGCACGGCAGATGAAGGGGTCCTGCCATCTTGCATGTCCCAGACTATACTCTTCATCGCCCCCCCAGTCCTGAAAAGCCCCCCATCCTGCTCTTCCTTGGCCTCCTCTCAATGACGGGCATAGTCACCCCCCTTGTGTCCCAGTCAGGACCCTATGCATCATCCTTGACACTGGTCTCTCCCACACTGACGAAATCCAACTCATCTCCAGCCAGGGGACTCTGTTGGCCTCCCAGTAGCCCCCCTAGCTCTCAGCCCCCCTCCCTTAGCTAATTCCCACTGGACTGTTAGGCTTCACGCAGTCATCCCCTCCCCCTTTCCAGATTCCATCCACTCCCCTCCTTCCCCCCCACCCTGCCACTGCCAGAGTCAGTTAAAAGACATCAAAGGAGCACTCCTTGGATCTGTCTCTCACTGTTCTCATCACCTACAGATGCACTGGCCTCTTTACCTGCCTGTCTCTCCACCTAGACCTAAGAGAACAGAGCCCGGGACTGTGGAAGTTCATAGCTATTTGTTGGAGGAAGGATAGAATCACAGAGGGACACACCTGTCCTCTCTGGGCCGCTCCTCCAGTCCTTCAATTGGCAGCTGTCTCCAAATGGTTTCTATGGGGTGCTGTTAGAGCAGGGGGGAAGGGTCTTTCTATTCACTGCACCCCAGTTCCTACTGCACCAGATTCATGGTTTTTTTTTTTTTTTTGGTCTTAAGATTAACAATTCTATTCGCTTTTGTTTGGAGCAGAATCACTGGGAACCACTGAGTCTGCGGCTCTTGCTGCATTGGGGTTCCCACCATCCCGCACACCATCTGCTAGGCAGGGCTTCTTGAGTTGGGC